CAACACGATCGTAAACGAACCTCTTAACAAGGGCGTAAAAAATACAAGAAATTAGATTTCAGAAATTACAATTTATTACAAATTATAGAATGCATATGAGTGAAAAAATTTTAAAAATATTTTACAGCCATTGATTATTTGCATTTTGTCGATTAAACGTAAACTCTAAATTCTACTAATTGTATTTTATTCTTGTAACAATGCGTTTTGTTTAAATTAACACAAATTCTATAAAATCACTCATAAGTTGTCTCGAAACAGATCATACATTATTCCGATTGGTTTTTCAATCTAACCCCCATTTTCTCATTGTCTGATTATGTTTTATCATAACGATAAATTGACATTTTACATACAAAAATTATTTTAACCAGCAGTATATCCATCTGTTAAACGATAGCCGGAGGTTGAGATATTGGCCCTAACTCTATTGTCTCTGTTTCTTTTGTATTTGTTTGCTTTTACACTTTTATTGTTGTGTGTGGATGATCAACTGTTTTTTTAACTTCGGCCGCACTACAGACAGTATTCATAAAATAAACGAGTGACTTGTAAGTCATTTTTAACGCACTCGTGCAGATGTCTAGTATATACATATGTATATCACTCTGCAAAATATTTTTTTGGCCGGTCCACAATTGGGCATAGCTCCCATATAAGGCATATTTCCGATAACCACGTAAATGCAAATATTCCATAACTGAATGAAGATATCGGTATAAAATTCTTCATTTATGTGATTAAAGTAGATATGAAACACTCTGCGTAATTTTTTTCCGGATCGGTTCATAATTGATCACAGCTCCCATATTAAGTAAGAAACTATTCTGAGGCGATTGGTATTCTTTAAGGTGTAGGATCAATATTTTTGGGTGTTACAAACATCAGCACAAGCGCATATATATAGTGGTGTAGGGTATAAAAATTTACATGAGTATATTTTGTAAAAAAAATTAGGATCAATGCATAATTGGTCATAGCTCTCACATGAGGTCAACTTCCTTAAGTTACTTTTTCCAATATATTTCATTAAAATAAAATCCGACATAGTGTGTTGTTTATCGATCAATAATTCTGCGAAATTTTGTTCGGATTGGCCAATAAATTGCCATACCTACATAAAAGGTGCATAAATTAGTTATGGCAATTACTAAATGATTGATCACGGAAGCAAAATTTAAACATGTAGAAGGGTTTTGGTAAAAAGTAAGTGATTTCTGTGTTATTTTTCCAATTTTTTGACTCAAATTGGTAAGTAAGATTTTAGTAAAGACAAGTAAATTTTAAAAATAAATTTTATGTTTTTATTGTTAATTTTCAAAAATATTTTAAATGTTTCGATCAAAGTATAACAAGTAGTCCGACTCTCACGTACACGATATTCCATCTCCACATTTACGGGTGTTGTGTGAATTCAACACCTTGGTGAGAAATATTATTGTGTCAAAATACTTAAAATTTCTACTTACATTTTCGAATTAATAACGGGTTCTATGCGAAATCTCACCCGTCCACAGGAAAAGTAAAATTTTTTTACGAAATGTTTTCTTTAAAATTCCGTTTATTTTGAGCAAACTGAAAATTTTATTTTTTATTTATTATTGACATTTATTTCTGTATGTCTGGTGAAAATTTTAAATGCTCGTGTACACTTTTGTTACTAATACAAATTTAGAGTTAGGTACTTTTTCACTAACACATGCTTAGAGTTAGGTACTGTTGTCAAGGAGTCGGGCTACATGTTATACTTTGGTTTCGACTAAAACGAACACTGATCTCTCAAGTCATAATTTAACGTTTTAATATAGGAAAATGGATATAAAGTTTCGATTATTATTATATTGAACAAATTCTATCCATATTGCAGGTCATGCAATTAAGGCCCTATTTGTAATAAATACTAAATTATAAAGCAATAAATTATTGAAATTAGTTTTGAATGTAACGAAAATTTTAATTAGTAGAATTTAAATCAATGTTTTTACTGTTAAACATTACATTTTATGACTTAAGCATAACCTTACTTAAATGAACTAATCATCTAAAAACGCTTTCGCTAAAACCATGGCATACGGAATGAAAAGATCATATATTTAGCAAATCATGTGGTTTCAAGGTAATTTGGTAGATATGTGGAAAAATATCAAAAAAATTTTGTGGAATTACTAAGATTGCATCTGCGTGACTTTCAAGTATTTTAGACTTATAATTAAATGAGGATCCATTTATTTTATAAAAAATAACTTCTTAGATCGTAATAAGTTAAATAAAACCTAATGTAAAATATTTTTCGTTAAAAAATACTGTTTTTAGCGAAAATATCGCCATAAACCTCCTTAAATTGTTAAAAATAAGCTCTTTCTTCGTAAAACTCGTAGGTCCTTGCATAAGTCACCCAAATTTTTCGTTAAAAAATTTTTTATTGAACTTCTGGGACACTTTTATTAAAGTTCTGATTTTTCTATATAAATAAAAAATATACAAATAAATTTACTACATATGTATATGAAAAAAATACCAACAACAAAAAAATTAAATTGTTGTAAATTGTCAAGTCCTTACTTATTTACAAATTATATGTTTTTCATTCCTCAACAAGAATTAAACACAAATTACCATACGTATTAAGATCACAGTCAACTTGTATCCTATAATTATTTCCTATGAACATTTTAAATTATTTGTTGTAATATTTGCAAATATAAAATTACATCGAATATTTTTTATCCAAATAACTTGTACACATAATTTATTAGGTTAGGTTAGGTATCGAGGGCAGCTGCTTCATGAGCAGCTCACTTGGGTCCATTTAAGGTTGGTCCCGTTGTGTTACCCTAGTGGTCACAGGAGTTTGTTATAATTTCACTCTCTGCTTCCAGATCTAAACCAACCGGTTTCATTTATGTAGCATAGGATATTCTTCAAGCCTATCCCTGAAAGCTCCTCCATACCAGCCAGAAAGGGAGCTCCAAAGTGATTCTCCCTACTCTCGGTAAACGTGGGGCAAAGGCAAAGAAGATGTGATATCGTTTCATCTTCTTCCTCATTATGACAACTTCTGCAGTAGTCATTATATCCAGGACCCAGTCTCCTGGCGTGAGTGCCAATGGCACAGTGTCCTGTGATTACTGATACAAGAGTCCGTATCTGCTCCCTTCGGAAGCTCATAAGTAGTCTTGATCTGCTGGCATCATATAGGGGCCAAATGGACCTCGAGACTTGACAGGTGGTTTCATTGAACCACCTGATTTGGGCTTTCCCATATTGTTCGTTAAGAACAAGTGCCTTACAGTTTGTAAGGGAAATACCAGTAAAGGCGTCTATTTCCTCCTCAGCCATCATTGTGCCTTTCCTGGCTAGTTCGTTAGCTATACAGTTACCCTGACATTTATCATGGCCAGGGACCCATATTAGCGTTATCCTAGAATTTCTCGCTATCTCATTTAGAGATACCCGGCATTCTCTGATTAACCTAGATGTCGTGAAGACACCAGCTATATTCTTGATAGCAGCTTTACTGTCAGTATATATACATATATCCCCCGATATGTGATAATACCTTAGCCAATTCGCTGCTCTTTTAATAGCAGATATTTCTGCCTGAAGAACACTACAGTAATTGGGCAGTCGAAAGGATGATCTAATACCAAATCCTTCAATAAAGAAACCACCACCCACTTTACCACTCCTTTTGGAGCCATCAGTGTAGACTCTCGTTACACCTGGAGGTGGGTGAGTTTCTAGTTCGAGGTTCCTATGTGGAATCCTGAAGCAGAAGCGATTATCGAAGTTGGGCTTCGTAATGCAATAGTCAACATTCAAATGTAATAATTCGAAATGTTTTATAATTCTAGAATGCCCGTAGTCTCTGTACTCAGACCATGAGCCGCAGGCATTTAATCTGATCGCAGAGTTAAGGGCGAGTTGAAAGGCCATTAAGTCAGCTGGTAACCAATTCAGCATGGTTAACAGTGCCTTGGTTGGCGTTGTCTTCATTGCTCCCGTAATAAGGATTGCAATGTTTCTCATAGTGCGCTCGATGGTTGCACAGTTTGTAGCATGCTCCAAGGCATGCCACCATACTATAACCCCATAAAATAGTATGGGCTTGACTACTGCCTTGAAGATCCAGTTAATACCTTTCGGGTTAATGCCCCAGTTTGTACCAACTGCCTTCTTGCATGTATAGATAGCCACATTGGCCTTGTTAACCCGGTTCTGAATATTCAGATTCCAGGATAGCTTACAATCTAAGATTACGCCAAGATACTTTGCGTGATCCGAGATTTTTAATCTAATTCCATTCAGCTTTGGCGGTATAAAGTTATCAATTTTATACCTCCTAGTGGAAAGGACTAGTTCAGTTTTCAGTGGGTTAACACTGAGTCCACAAGAAACACTCCATTTACTCAATAAGTTAAGAGCAGTTTCCATACAACGAGATATTGTATCGGGGAATTTACCCGATATCAACACTGCCACATCGTCGGCATAAGCGACAGTCGTAATTCTTCTGCTATCCATTTCAGACAGTAGAGTATTCATAGCCACATTCCACAGTAAGGAGTGCCACGATTGGCAAGTCGCGAGACGCAGACTCCCCCCCCATTGTGGCACTAATGACCCTATTGCTCAATAGCTTCCCAATGAGCAACTGAGTCTGGGAGTCAACACCCAGTCCTCCTAGCGCAGTTAGGATGGCACTGGGTTCAACATTATTAAAGGCACCTTCGATGTCAAGAAAGGCGACAAGAGAGTACTCCTTATACAGTAGCGAACGTTCAATATGTCCAACTAGTGAATGAAGAGCTGTTTCAACAGATTTACTTTTAGTGTATGCATGCTGTGATTTAGAGATTCGTTCCGGTGGGATGGTCATTCTCAAATGGACATCAATAACCCGTTCTAGGGTCTTGAGCACAAAGGACGCTAGACTAATTGGTCTGAAGTCCTTAGGTTTGGTATGTGATGCTTTCCCTCCTTTGGGAATGAAAGCAACGTTATACCTCATCCACGTACTAGGAATATACAACGTTGTTAGACATGCCTTGTAAATTAAAAGCAGCCATGGTATCACAAGATCTTCATTTTTCTGAAGGTCTGCTGGAATAATACCGTCAGGACCCGGCGATTTGTATGGATCAAAACTGTTAAGAGCCCAACAAATTCTCTCTCTATTGATGATAACAGAGCTGGGATTTGTCGTGTTGTGATCCAGGGTAGTCATTATTCCATTATCTTCAATGGGCTGACATCCCGGAAAGTGAGTATCCAACAGGACTTCAAGAGATTCCCTGCTAGACGTAGTCCAACTACCACAGGGTTTTTGAATGTAACTCGGTACAGCCTGTGTAGTTGACAGAATCTTACGAAGTCGATTGGTTTCAGAGGATCCTTCAACATTAGAGCAGAAGTCCCTCCATGCCTTCCTCTTCGCGTTCCTAATCATATTCTTAAAGTAGTTCACAGAGGACTTATAGGGAGACCAGTTATTTGATCTCTTGGCCTCATTGAACAGCTTACGACACTCTTTTCTAGCGCGCGCAATGTCGAGATTCCACCACGGAGGCTTTGATTTTCCTCTCTTGGCGGAAGGTTTACAGGCAATATTAGTAGCCGAGCGGAAAGCTTCTGTTAGTTCTGCAACGGCCGCATCAATATCCTCCGTACTCTCAATAGTAGGGGGAGACATAAGAGAAATGGAAAGCATACTATTTTGAACCTCCCAATTCGTTTTCCTTCTGTTAAGAATACTAGTAGTATTCACTTTTATAGTACCAACTGTAAAATCAATATACCGATGGTCCGATAGAGAACAGTCATTAGAAACAGTCCAGTTTGTTATACACCTGCGATGCACAGCACTCACAAGCGTTATATCTAGTACTTCTGTTCTGTTAGATACAATAAAGGTGGGTTCTGAACCCCTATTTACTACTTCTAAATTTCTGAGAATGAAATTGAAAAGTTGCTCACCTCTAGTGTTGGTGTCACTACTACCCCAGATGTTGTGCTGCGAGTTGGCGTCAGCACATATGATAATGGGGATGTTGTGCTGATTCGCCTTATCTACCAAACTACGGACGCAATTATTGGGTGGGCTGTCTCCGTGGTCGTGGGCCATGTAGCTTGAAATAAGCCATGTCGTTACACCGTCATGCTCTAGTGCCACTGCAACAGTATCTTCATCACTAAAATCAGAGAGAATGAAGATATGCAAGGAGCTTTTAGCCAGTATAAAGGATCGTACTTTACCTGAGTTCTTAACATATAAGAGTTTATAGCCCTTAAGGTGTAGTCCGCAAACCCGATCCTGATGGATCCATGGTTCTTGGACCATTACTAGCTCCTCCCCACTTTGTGCCACTCGGAGGAGCAGTGCAGCGGAAGCTGCTTTAGAGTGGTGAAGATTGATTTGAGTCAATCTCACCATCCTTTTCTACAACTGTGACGTTGACGACTTCCTGAGATAATTCCAGGGGTTCGTCATCGTCAACCACCTCATCCTTCTGAGTAAAGAGGGAGCTCATCATGTCAGAGATCGATCGAGCATCCTCTTTATCAGAAGGATCGGTGACTTGGTTGCCTTCCGTGCCTTCTACCGACTGCACGGCATCTACATCCTCTGCTTCCACCTTCGGAGAGGGATCGCCTTTGGAGTCACTGCGATAGACTCGAAGGAAAATCGTACCAAATCCATAGTAGACCCTCCCTTTTGTCTCTCTCAGTGGCTCCGAAGATTCCTTGTTAAGGATCACGATCACGTGTCTTGAAGGTCCATCAGCCACTGAAACCCTAACCACCTTCCAGTCTTTGGTTGGAAGTTGAGGGTTGCAGCACTGGAGAATCTCCAAGATCTCTTCGGGGGTGGAGGGTTCAGATAGTATTTAGGCAATAGATCTGGGCCTGCGTGGTATCTCCTCAGGAGTCACCACTTCAAGCTTCGATCCAGCCCATACCTCACCCAGCAATGCAACAGCAGACTTGAGCAGCAACGCTGAGCGTTCGTCTGCACAAGTCATGAGTTTCACGTGACCCTGGAACCATCCAGCATCATCGCATTGGGGAGGAGTGCCTGGGTTCTCTCTGAGAACTTTCCAGAACACTCCCATAAGTTTTTGCTTCACCATATCCCAATTAGATTGGGATATGGATCCGTCAACATCACTTCTGTCGATGACGGCCCGAACGAGGCTGTCTTTGGCAACCTCACTAAAAGAGCGCGTCATCGACTTCTGCGATTGTTTGGGACGTTTTGTCCCGGATTGCTGGCTTGTAGCCATGGCCTCCTCCTGGAACGCCTAGTAGTTGCAGCCCGCTTTGATGGTTTTTTGTGCCGAGTTGTTGTTGTTTGGTTGCCGGACTTGGTAGGGGGTGGTACGGACCCAGGACAGGAGGATTCCATCACTGAACCAGGGGGTACAGAAGGCACCTGGGAATCTGCAGGAAGGGACGACTTAGCCGACCCCTTTCCAACAGGACCCGAAACAGGGTTTTCAACCGGATTAACGGTTTGGGCTAAAGCAGCTTTGGAGGAGCCTGCAGAGAAATCCAGGGGAGCCTCGCCACTTAAAGAACAACTACTGATAGCTGTTTGTTTTTTACATTCCGCCAGCCTGGGTGTGCCAAACTGACTTCCTGCTTTGCCGGTAGCTCGCAAGCTAGCCTGACCCGGTATTGCCGCCTGACTAGCCTGGGTAACGGTCGCATTCGACTCTTCACAGCCCATTACCGACGCCGTGGGAGTAGGGTTCCCGGAGATTATAAAGCCCCTGACCGGGTACGCGGGGCATGCTTCCTTCTCACTTTCCATATTGGTTGTCTAAAGAGACAGTTGCATTTTTAACCTACTGCCAGGTAGGGTTAAACTGCCGTCCCCACAGGGGAAATCAGACGCAGACCACCAGCCGCCCAATATGGGAACAGACGCTGGTGGATTCAGACAGACACACATTTAAGTGTATGGTTCTAATAGAACCAGCCGGACAAGCTAACCCAGACCACCCCTCTCAGTGAGGGGAGAATAGTCTGGGAAAGCATCTGATAGCCGTCCCACAGGGAAACAGACGCTATCAGATTGGGGGGAGGGTAGTTCTTAGTTTCGCGCTCAATGTAGACCCGACTGGAATGGGTGACCCTGCCAGGAATAGCCAACTTATGCTGGCCATTCCCTCCAGTTTGGCTCTACAAATCATTGCACTTAAGCATCTGCATCACGACAAGATGACTACCATCGCTACTACTACATAATTTATTAAATAGTACATAATAAATTTTAGATCAAAATATGTTACGTTATTTTAACAAAAATATTGTACCTTATAGTTAAAAAAAGTTTAAAGTTTTTGAAGAAAAAACATATTAAATATTTTATTGAATTAAGTGACTTCTTGCAAAAAATTTCAACAGTATATAAAACTTAATATATTCCCAAAAGAAAATCTAAAATTTACATTTCCAAAATACAAATATTTTTTGTTTTGGCTATACTACGAACATTTATTTTAGCTACATGGCTTTTTTTTGAATTTTCGAATTACATATATTAAAAAAATTGTATAATTTCCAATACAACAGAAAGTAACAATATATAATTATTTTTTTGTCGAAATCCATCCTTATTTCTTAAAAATATTCCATTGTACAGAAAAAAAAATACTTTGGAATAATTCCTTAACAAATAAATTTTTGGAAAAATTTTTTGATACAAGCTTTGAAATGCATTATTCTGTCAAATATATTTGGCTAAAATTTCGTTGACTATAGCGTCGCACATTTGGGTAAAAGCGTCGAAAATGACTCTTAATTCAGGGGAGGGTAAAATTAATTTTTTATTGTTATTATCGTATTTGTTTATTTATTTTCATGTAAAAAAAATAAAGTTTGGAATTAAAAAAAATTTTAGGCTATTCTAGAGTCTGTCCGTCTTCCCGCGACTTAATTTTAAATATGTTTGTATGAGTGCAAGTCAAAATTTTGAAGATATCATAATAAACTTTGGCACATAAGTTTATATTGGTCAAAAAAAGGCGGAACTTCAATTTGGTGAGAACTGTTCCGTTATTTCGCATAGCTCCCATACAAATGGACCTTCCGGATATGGTTTTAGAGCTTATACTAAATATGTTTTTTTATATTCGAAATGGTATGTCCATATTTAATCATAGTTCCCATATAAAGTATCTGTCGCGCATTGTTTAGTTTGAATTGGTCCATTATTTCTCCTAGTTCACATAGAAATTACAACCGAAATAGACCCACAACATTAATAACTTAGAATAAAATAAAATAAAATAAAAAGAATAAAACATCTTAAGCAATTTTTATATTAATTTAGATTATTTTAACTAAAATTTATTTTTTATTAATTGAAAATGGGTAGTAAATTATTTCTGTTATTTTCTTATTCAATGTAATTTTCATTCTCACTATCATCATCGAAACTATAATCACTACTTTCTGCAGTTATTCTTATTATTCGAGTCATTTGAAAGAATAAGGAGATCCAATGCCGCTTTTGGTAGAACAGTTTTTTTCTTTTCATATTTTTTGCTCATACTTGAAACTATAGGATCGGAGCTTAACAAAAGTCTATTAAATATGTCTTCATTGGTTTTTTCTCTACTACATCTTCCTGAGAAATGTTCTCTGTAGTTTTTGAAATCCTTGTTTCTTGCCTCTTGAGCAGCCAGAGAGACGCTGAAAGAGAGACGCTAAGAAACTGTTATTGTAGTGGTGAGAAAATACTAAAAAACACTTAGAAAAAATATTGCCTAATTACGCTTGTTATGACCAAATTTCATAACAAATAAAATAGTAAATTTTACAGATAAAACATATTCAAAGAAAACATATTCAATACAAAGATGAAGTTTTTTATTTAAAATGTTTAAAAAAAAGTATTAAAAATACTGTTTTAATGTGTTTTCATTCTTATGCATTAGTAAATTTTTTTGGAGTGTACGAGTTTTTTGCAAGTAATTCTCTTGTTTATAAATTGTGTTGTTGTTTTTACAAATTGTTTTTGCAATTTTCGAAACATAGCGACATCAACCTACATTGTTGAATGCTGTTAAGCAACTGAAGATATTTTTTTGTATTTTTACGCTCTTGCCGTGAGTTTTGTTTACGATCGGGTGGTGTATGTGTGAATTGTCGAAAATCTTCGTAATTTGAACAATATGAACGCGCAACGCTGCTCTTGAGCTTCTTCAGAAAGTTGGCCAATTGGCAAAAGAGCATGATCAATTATTTCAGGGCCATGAATAAAAAATTTAGGCAGAGTGGGGGACATGTAATACCATGGATACTTCTCAACATAATATCTAGCTGTATTATTCGCGTAGTTTCTGAAATTTTCAATTTTTTTAGTACAACAAATTGCACCTCATTATATATTTTTTAAAATTTAAAAAAACAACAATTTTAATTATAATAATAATAAAATAAATAAATAAAAAACTAAAAAAACTAATGTTAATGTAAATATTTTATGGCTACATTTAAAACAATAACAATAACGATGTAAATACTGACAATAATCACGAAAACATAACTAATTCGTTCTCCTGTATTATGATTAGAGGAGCTGGGTACGTTTATTAAAATCATAATTTCTTAAAATGGAGCAAACTTGTGCAGTTTTTTTCGGAATATTAAAGAAGACTATATGTAGTAATTTTTACCCATTTTTTCAGAGCTAACAAATGA